TGGACAGGTTATAAGTCTCCAAATTCAAAGAGCAATCATGTCTTGCATGTGATAAAAGTATATTATATTTAATAAATACTCTCACTGAAATGTTTATATGAATTTGTTCTACCTTTATTTTTGCACATGTTCGTTTTTACAGACTAACTGTAACTGTTCCTTCATGTCTTTGCTAGATCAGGTTAAAAGTGAAGCTGCATTTCACTATCATCTCGTTTTATTCTACGGAGTAAATAAAACATTCAGAAGTTTTTTCTTTGTTTTATAGGTCATATTTCTACAGAGACAAACTTTCCTGCAACGATGCATACTTCTGTAAATGTCACGCTGTTTAGTTCAGAATGCCCTTTTACGCAGTTTTAAGACAGATTTCTCAAAAAGGATGGAAATGAACATGAAGGTAAATACATGAAAGCCTCATGAGTATCTGTGATACTTAGTTTTAATAAGCACAGTGAAGAGTGAGTGCGTTCATGTTTCCTGAGAATGCATGTGAGGAAGAAGCGAGTGTAAGATCTGCGTTTCCTGTCGAGATAGAAGATCTGGTTTGTGGCTTGGTTTCTGCTAAACAAACTCCCCGTCACAAACTGGTGGTTATGCATCAGCTCTGATCGCCGCGCTGATAAATGGAAAACATGTGGTCAAGTCTGCTCTGAGAGGATCAGACACCCAGAAAGCTCGGCTGTAATATTCAGCGATAGAGGGTTAAGGCGTTTCACACCCACTGCTAAAATAACACTTTTTTAAAAAAATATATATTTTTTTATGTGTAGTGAGGGGGGTGTGAGGGTGGGGGGCATTTTTGACTTGCATAGATGTTATAATTTGTACAATATGGGCATACGTTCACATATTTGAACTTTTTATTGTGTCAATCAAGAATATCTGACGTTTCATGCTGCAACAGAAAACCGTTTTTCTACATGTGTTAGATGTGTCAGATCAGACTTTGAGTTTATTCTTAATTTACAGTTTAATAATAATAATAATAATAATAATAATAATAATAATAATAATACAATTATGTATCTGTTTGCATTATAAAATGATCACAAATGCTAGAAAGGAAATTATATGAAAAATATGTTAAAATGTAAATATTTTGTTTTTCTGCAATGTATAACATGAATTTGAAAGTTGTATTGAGAAGAATATCAATTTATTACTGTGTTTAGAGTTTTGTTTTGTAAAAAAAATATACGGCGAAGGACTCAAGATGACATTAAACTTCAGAGATGTGGAAATAAAAAACAACGAAAAGGAGGAAATACAGTAAAAACTAATCTGATTTAAAGAAAAATCCCATTTGTACATATTTAGAAATAAGAGGAATGCAAATTTAGGCATTCATTTTTTGTCTTGACTATATGAGTAAGAAGCTAAATCTGAGACTTTACAAGAACTTTAAAATATATATCACCCTTGTTTGCTTGTGTTTTGCAACAATAAATTCCAAAGAGTTTAATGATTAAAGTCACATTTTCTCTTTTTCACCATTTCTTGTCTTTGTTGAAGGAATCTGTGTTTGAGTGTAAAGTCTTATTTAAAATCCCAGAGTTCAGAGGAACACAAACAAATTAAATAAATCCAACTTTGAATTCAAACTTCCATGTCAGATCGGAGTTGATCTAATCTGGGGTTTCTATATTTTAGAAATCCACTCTATATGTATTTAGCATTTTTTAACAGTATTTATGAAGTTGGTATTTGAAATTTTCGATCAGAATCCACTGCAACTTTACCAACTCAAAGTCATTCCATGCTGAGAAAACGTCGATGCTGTTCCATATTCACTGGGACGGTTCAGATTTTATGAAAAGAGGTTCTGTTAAGCAGCATTTTGTAGTCAGTGTCTTCCAATACCTTTACATCTTTACATCTTTACATCTTTGCATGACATCTGAATCGAGCTAACGACAGCTCACAGCAGGCTAGCAGACAACTTATTTCCTGTCATGTTAAAATAACTTCAACCTCATTTCTTCTTCTTCTACATTTATATTATATTATTATTATTATATTATCATGGAAGTTGTTGATTATTTAAAGTGAAAAATGTGGTAGGTTACACTCTGCAATATGCAAAGCAAAACTGAAAATGTTTTAAATTTGCAGTTAGAGTAAAAGTATGCGTGTCTTGAGATGTTTTTTTTTATGTCATGTTTATTTTATCTTCAATATATTTATGTTGTTGAATATTACAATGCCTGCACTTTAGGAAGCTCCACTGATCAAAAACACTTAATATTAATATAGTAAGCATCCTAGAAGTTCAAATATGAAAAAAGCTTAATAATTCTTAAAGTTTTCATGTACCAATGTGAACATTAAAACAACCGTTTTAACATGTCAGAGGTACTTTTTATCTGACAAGCTCTTTATGTGTACTGATTAATTTGGATATTTATGAAAGAGATTAGTTAACACTGGATTTTATTCCAGGACAACAGATTAAAAGGGGTTTCCTCACTAGAACCAGAAGGTCAGAGCGCACCAGCCCAGTCCTTCCGCCACGGCTCCCTGGAGCTCAGAGAACAGACTTTAAGATGCTGCTGTTCGTTTATAAACCAAAGAACTGTTTAGCACCACAATACATTAAAGATCTGCTGCTGTTGTATCAACCTTCCAGACCACTCAGGTTCTGGTTCTGGCCTAGAAGAACCAGAACCAAACATGGAAAAGCAGCATTCAGTTTTTATGATCCTGTGATCTGGAACAAACTTCCAGAAAACTGCAAAACAGCTGAAACACTGAGATCCTTAAATCAAGGCTAAAACCCAACTACTTAGAGTTATAATAACTTTAGCATTGATCAGTATATTTGATGTATATTTGCTTGATGGTATTTGACAAATATGATGTTCATGCTAGTTTCCTAATTGGTGACTGTACAATGCGTTGTGGTGTAAAGCATTTTGAACTGTCTTGTTGCTAAAACAACAGATTATCAGACTTCATATGTAAAATGTGTTGAGAGCCATGCATGCTTTTCTTTTGACTTTGACATTTATGGGCTGCTTTGTTTTTGTTTATCACTTAGAAAACAAGTAGAATGCATAGAGATGTGTGGCTGTAATGTCAAGAAAACATAACAAACCTAACAATATTTAGTTGCTGTATTTAGGATCTGAACTGTTTAGGAAATGTATGATTGAATGATTTTTGTTTCATTTCAAGTTTTCTAACTTCAACTCTAAATGGAAAGTTTCTGTATCTGTGTAAGAATAATCAAATGTTACGACATTTGCTTATTTCAATCATGATAAGAATTGATCAACCTTCTTTAACCTTATGCTGCAGAAGTTCGAGGTAAAATCAGTTATTCATCGTCTTGCATAAATGCAGTAAATACACAGAAAGCAAACAAAATGGATTTTGGATCCGCACTTGACTTCTTCCTGATCTGACATGAACGTCTTTATCTCGACTAAGTCACACACTTTAAAATCTTTATTACATCTTTTTTTTTTTCTAATTTCCTGATGCCTTCTGATAACATGAAGCAGGATGCTGATCATTTTTTAACCCCTCACAAATATTATCTATCCTCTGTAAGAATATTAATAGTTTGACATTTCTCTGATGTAATGTGACATTCGACTCCCTTGATGGCTGCCGCTTCCACTGCTCTGCTGAAACGTCTTCAGGCTTTAAAACGGACGTTTGTCTGGTGTCAGGAATATCACAGAAAACCATGAAATAAATACAAACTGATAGACGTGAGCTAAGAATAACTATTGTTGTTATCATTTTATTAACAAAGAAAATATTTAATAAAAAAAAATACCTAATGGATTAAACCATGATCAAAAGATCACAGGTTTACTTTAAATACAATCACAATAAAAATATTAAGTTGGTGGGTTAATGTATTAATATTATTATTATTTTTCAAGATTTTTTATTCACCAATTAGTGTGTATACAATAAACATTACAAACTGACAAAAATCAAGTAGGGGTATTGATCTCCTAAATAATTAACCCGATAACAGAAGGAGGAAAATCAATAAAAATAAAATATGAAATATTAAAAATTATAAAAAAAAAATTATTATAAAGTAATTATAAAATAACTTAATATAAAAAATAATAAGGAACAATCAAAATGTTATTCCAAAATGAATTTTGGAATAACATTTTGATTGTTCCTTATTAATTTTTTTTTCATGAATCTGAATTTCTCAGGTTAAATGGAATGTTTTAGACGTGTTATGTTGCATTTTGATTGTGGTGAAACAAATAAGAATAATTAAATAATCTTAACTTTAATGTTATGTTGGTTTTTAAGGTTTAGTGCTTACCTGTTGTTTTTCCAGATACCCCTCAAAAAGATTTTTATTTTATGGTTCATAAGTTCATAATTAGCATCTCTTTCATATCATAAATGTCAATATCTTAATTTAATCACACAGGCAATGTTTGGTTAGACAAAAACAGACTGACTTTTTATGTATTCATGCTTCTTTTGAATACAAGACAAAAACTGCTTTTGCTTTATTTTCAATAATCCATAATTTGAGTATGAACCATGAATTAGTGCATAAAAATAATAATAAATCTATATTGTCTACTTTTACACAAATCACAAAAATTTTGTTAGCTGCAGAAAAAAAGCAATAATAATAAAAAAATTGTTAGTAGTTCAATAAATTACAGGTCTGTATCTTTCCATTAATATGATGTCTGTTTGTATTATTTTCATAAATGTTAATAAATTATCTGTGTCTGTGTTGAATTTATTACCTGGCTTTGTTAAATCTCTATAAGGTCTGTTGGGCCCGGATTTTTCACATTCTCACATCTCAAGTCATTTATCATCACAAAGTTATAGTTGACATTTAGAGTTTGTATTCATTATATGACGTTTGAGTTATGTTAAATTTGTGCATTTTTGTGAAAAAACAACAACTAAAAAAGTTTGTACGTTTTTCTTCCAAGCTGCATCTAAGAGTTTAAAGAAGGGCCGTCTGCTGCTCACAGGCATGTTGGCGGGCGTTTCCCTGTCAGTATAAAGTGGAGCAGATCATCATCAGACCTCAGTCGCTTTGCGCTGTGGCGACGATGTGGTTCCTGCTTCTGCTCCTCCACACCTTCGCTCACTTCGGGCCGGTGAACTCAGCAGGTGAGTTACGATTTTATTTTTACTTTTCATTTGTGACAGACGTTACACTTGATCCTGAATTTGCAAGAGAATATTTATTTTCATATCACACTGCAAAAACTCAAAATCTCACCAAGTACTTTTGTTCTGGTTTCTAGAGCAGATATCATGGTACACTTGAAATAAGACAAAACTGACTTACAAGTAACTTGCCAGCAAGATGCTTACATACCATACTTCTTATTTGGCTGTCTTTTTTTCCTTTGTCACTTTCAGTTGTTGATGTCATCAGATTAGAATATCATCTCTCACACTTATGAAAGTAAACGTGTTTATTAAATATAAATGTGTTAACCACATTATTAAACATCCGCAGATTTTGTTTGATCATTCTACAATTAACAACAAAAGTTCTAATGTTTGGACTTTACACGCAACATTATTTGTTGTTATTTATTTATTTTTTTTATTTTATAAAACTACATTTTTTAAAAAACAATATACAATATTATTATTACTTAATAATATGGCAGTATTAGGCAACAAGTAATTTTCTGTATTTGAACAGAAACTTATACAGATGTGAAATTCTTTATTTAGTAGTTTTCAACATTATGATCTAACTGTTAAATATTTGAGTTTTTTAAATTTATTTTTATTATTAAAACATATTCAGTCACAAGCAGAAGTTTAGATTCGTTTAGATCCTGATGGGCCCATACCGATGGGCCTCATCATTAAATTGGGGGCATTTATTGATGCATTTGAACAAGTCAGTATTCAAATATATACATACATCAAATATGAATATTTGGTTAAATATTAGATCTTCTGTCAAGAAGCAAGCTCAAATATTCAGCCTGAATTGTAGAAGAAAAATATTATTGGCTACAAAGTCGATTCTAAGGGACATTTGAGAAAAAGTGTGATCGGGGTGCTGTGGTTACGCACAACTCACATATGGAGGCCTGAGTCCTCAATCTGGCCGTCGCCGGTTCGATTCCCGGCCTGATGACTTTTGCTGCATGTCTCCCACTCTCTCATTACCCACTTTCCTGTTTAACTACTTTCAAATACAGGCCACTAGAGCCAATAAAATCTTTGAAAAAATAAAAAAAAATAATATTCTTGTCTGAGGTCTGTATACATCTTGAAGCATGTATGCATAATTTCTGACTGTGCATATTACAGATAATACAAAATAAATTCAAACTTATGTACAGAGTCCCTTTTTATTTATTTATTACAATGGTTTCTTGAATAATAATTTCACTGAATTTTTTTTAGAAAAGCTTCACATTAAGCCTAAACCTATCAAACTTATTTCCCATGATGAAAGTATGTAAACATTTGACATGTTGTACTGTGAAAGTGAGAGTTTATTGCTTCAAAATGTTATTATTTTCTGCAAATAATTTAACTTAAAATAAACCATGAAATGTCTTGTAATGAAGCTTAAAGCTTGCCGGCATATTGCCTGAGTTTTATTAACTTATTTTTTATTTCATTTTTTTATAATTTTTTGTGTGTCATTAATCAGTCAGGCTCTAACATTTCAGTGAACACACAAATAAATTATTATCTGAAACAATAATGTTCAAGGAAATAAGTCAAATTAAATTAGTGTAAGGATGCCTTTTGAGGTGTGGAAGTTTTATGGAGAGGATTTAAAAAAACAACACACAAATTAAACCTCAGATATTTATAATAAATGGGTTTTGTATATAAATGTCTCCACTCATGTATCCACCTTCTTTATGAATATTATTCAATATTCAAATAATTATTTTTTGCTTCAAACAAAATATTTTGTTAGAAAGATAGATTATTACCTTTAGAACTTCAAACTACATATTTAGTAAGATAAAACTAAATATTTAGTTACCGTAGCTTCAAACTAAGTATTTAGTGAGTAATCTAACTTTTTAACTCCAATCTAAGTATTTATCTCAGGACTAACTATTTAGCTAATTAGCCAAGTCACTTGCCTATTAGAAGAAGTGAGCTGTCAAAATAAAAGCTGGATGCTCTGAACGTCTGCTGCATTGCTGAGGCTGAGTCACTTCAGCATCATGTCCACATGTTGGTAAATGTCTGTATTGCCGTCTTTAGTTTTAAGCTGAAATATCGTACAAGTCGAGAGAAGAAACGATGATAAAAACGTGACACGAAGCGATTCGGTCTCACCAAAAACCAGCTTTTATTTTGGTAGTCCACTTCCAATAATTTGTGTATTACCTTAATATTTAGCTCTGAATTTAAAATTTTATTTGAAGCTAAATATTTAGATTGTTTACTAATACATTTTTGACTGAAAGTTTGCAATCGGCAGCCCAGACAGAACCCTCACATGCATGAGGAGAACATGTGAACCCTGTCAGAAAAACCCTTGGCTGTGTTTAAACATGCCTACTATTCTGACTTGACTTGCAGATGGATGAAAACTTCTGACTGGTGCAAAACAAAGATTGGTTTTGAACATGATGCTGATGTGTGATGCTGCCTCTCTCTTCATAAATCTCTCATTTTTAAACCAGATGCAAAACAAGGGAAGATCATCCTACGGAACGAAAATGACGCTAACCCCTGTGAAGGACATGTGGAGGTTTATTACGACAACGAAATGGGCTATGTTGGAGACAAAAATTGGAACAATAAAACTGAAAAAGTGGAGTGTAAATAAACTCACCGTGGACGACCAGAAGGATAATCCAAGGTGTACAGGTCCTACAGCCGCCCAGTCTGGCTGAATGAACTGGATTGCAAAGGGAACGAAGAAAGTCTGTGGGACTGTGACGGCTGGCCTGGTCCAAGCGTCAGCTTTTACCGAAAGCCCACGGTGAAGAAGGTCAAATGTTCATGTAAGTCTTTGATAATTCACATTACACGTATCCATGAACAACATAACCAATCAAAGTCCAATATTCTGTTTCAAAATGCTGAAAGTGTTTTTAACCTTTTTTTATAGATAATATCAGCTTCCACTTGGAACAACATAAGTGTGAAGGAGCGGTCAAGTACACAATTCAGTCTGACAAGACGGAAACTGGTTACATCTGCAATGAGGGGTTTGGTAAGAGCCCACCTCAGATCCTCACAGTAAAACATGATTCTGTAAAAGAGCTCAAAGGAAAAATTGACTCATTCTGAGTGGGAGGGTGTCATACTGTATCCTCATTTATTTTTATTCTGATTCACATTATTGAGTGATGGCCTAAGTATTTTATTTTATTTTTTTTATTTTTTATTTTTCCAAAAGTGATTTTTTTCCCCCCGCCAACATCACTTTTGATAATTCTGAGTGGGCTATTTTTCTTAGATATTATTTGTAGAAGTCATATAAGTCATACTCTGAGTAAATAATTATCCCTCCTGAAAGAATTGGGCATGAAATGACCGACAAAGGCTCAAAAGGGAAGAACCAAACCCCAACGCTGCCCAAAACAAAATACACACTTTTATCTTTACAAGTATAAATGTTTCTTTGATCAGAAGCAACAAGAACATCATGAAAAGTTCGAGTGAAATTACTTCAGTATGTATTTTCTTTTATAATTTATATCAAAGACAATGTTGTCATTTCAAACACATCTTAATCATTTTTATATTTGGAGAAAAAAAGTGAAACTATCAGTTTAACTACTGACATTTTCCTAACATTTTCCTGACATTTTTACAGTAGAGTTTTTGACAATGTGACAAAGCTTCTGAGGGATTTTGTGTTTTTAATATTTTCTTTGCATTCTTCTTCTGCTATTGCAGCCTTGTTCTTGAAATAATGCTTTATAATCACTCAGAAATGAATCACTTTTGAACTTTTCCTTCTTTCTATAATTATTTTCATGAATGCAGGAGCAGATGATGCCACACGTTTGTGCAAAAGCATTCCTGGCTGTGGGGAGACTGGAAAAATGGTGACATCTCAGTGGATGAGGACTGAAGGATTCATGAAATCGCAGCAGGGGGCATTCAAAAAAATAAATTGTTCAGGCATTCAGAACATTAAACATCTGTGGCAGTGCATAGAATCACATCCCTCAGAATGCATTTTGCCTGCAGCGGTCAGTTGTACAGGTAACAAACACTGTGTGATGCCGACATCATCTGTGCAACTGTTGTGAGACTGAAGCAGATGTAAATCCTTTGATTGGTTTTCAGACCACAAAAGATTGCAGCTGAGAGGAAACACTGCCAACGTTTGCTCTGGGCAACTGGAAGAGGAGGAGAATGACAAGTGGAAAAAAACCAAAAATCAAACGATTCCTGACTTGTGTAAGAAACTACACTGCGGTGAAACCTCTCAACAGAATGCCGCAAACGACAATGTGCATTGCCCAGGTAATCCAGTTAGTATTTAGCAAAGTAGTTTTATTTGTGATTTTGTGATCAGTTCCCTTCCTCTTCATTTATGTATTTGTTGAAAATAATAAATTAGAAGAGCTGCATTTTGCACTTATTTCGTTTTTTCCTTTTTTAATTTATTTTTCTTTCTAAACATAGACAAAGTGAAAGTCCTTCTGACAGATGACAGTGACAGAGAAACCAAGTGTTATGGTTACGTCAAAATACAAAAGACTCAAAAGAATGATGAAAAAAGTCATGTTTGTGGTGATGACTGGACTGAGAAAGAATCTGAAATGGTCTGCAAAGAACTGAATTGTGGGAAGGTGAGTCTTCAGGGTTAACTTGCTGGCCTCTGTCATCATTTTGATTGATACAGTGAAGCCCAAACATATTCATGACCCTGATAGATTAAGGTTGACCGTGATATTAGGTTGTGTTCAGCACATTCCTTTCAACTGAAACCAACATTAATGCTTTAGAGCAACTCAGGAAGATTCCAAACTTAAACCTGATAGAGAATCTGATCAACATCAGGACCTTCAAATACTTGAGGTCTTATATTTCTCCTATATTTGGTAGATTTGTCTTTGTTATCCAGATGATTTGTCTGGATACCAGTGAAAACTAGAACTGAATACTGAGAAGGGTATTAATAATTTTGACAGGCCATTTTCTAAAAAGTACATGACATAAGTAGGTTAAATTATTTGTTTAATTGGGATTTTTAAGGCTTAATAAAAAGCCTAAAAAGTCTTATTGTCACTGAATATGACTTTTCTAAGCCATCTCTGTTCATTTAAGCATCAGAAGAGTCAACATATTCTTTGAAAGATTATTCTCTTCATTTCATGTTATTCTTTTGTGTTTTGAAACAATCAGCCTCTTTGTCTTTTCTGTTTATTAAAAGCACCTGAAAGCTGTCATTACATTTCTTTCAGGTGATTAAGAAGGAGTTGAAAAACATAAACGGAAAATATGGGATAATGAACCATGTGAAGTGCACAGGCAGTGAGTCCTCCCTGTGGTACTGCAGAGCCGAACATCGCAGTCAAAAGTGCACATCTGCTCCCTATGTTGTCTGTCAAGGTGGGACTGCCGATCAGAAAGTTTTGAAGCAACTCAGTGACATCTCTAGCTGTCTAAAGATGGTTTCCAGTGCTTTAACCTTCTGTTTTCCACTTGGTTTCAGGTAGTCGAGAAGTCAGACTGCAGGATGGCCCTGGAAAGTGTGCTGGTAGATTGGAAGTTAAGGATGAAGGCCAGTGGAAAAGGGTCAGTAAGGAAAACTGGGAAGGCAGTTATACAAAACGCGCCTGCAAGCAGTTGGACTGTGGGGATGATGGAAAAGACAAATCTGATTCTGATGAATTCAGCCAGGGCACTGGTGAAATGCTGACCTTCAGGTGTCAACAGAGTGACAAAAACCTGGCTGACTGTACAGCCACTAACACCAACAATCAAAATAGGAATGAGAAAGCAGTGCAGCTAATTTGCAATGGTGAGTTGTTGTTTTTTTCCCCCTTTTTTTTGTTTGTTATTTTAACACTTTAACACTTTTACAACCAGAAACATTCCCAGATGTTTCTGGTAGTAACAATAGAATGTGAAATATTTACAGAAACGATGCAGAAAGCAAAAGACACAACTGTGCATGTGTGTGAAAATAACCAAGGGACCATTTGAACCCAGTTTAGTTTAACTTATGGGGCCCATTTCAAATTCTACTCTAGCACCACCGCTGATATTTTTAATTCTTGATCATTTTTTAACATTTACAATGACATAAATTATTTGATCAAAGAGTTGTAGTTACTTCATTCATCCAATTTACCAGAGAAAATAGTCCAATATCTCTTTTAAACTGTAGTATGTAACTTTTACAAAAATATGTTTTTTACATAATTGTAAAAATTATCAGTATGTCGTGACAGTATAATAGGACACAGATAATTCTCTGCCTTCTCCCAGTGCTAATTGCAGTAATACACCAGAAACCAAGAGGAGGGTCTTAGTGCTGTCAATCACTCTCGTACCCACCCCTCCCCTTTGATATCCAGGATAGAGTGGGATATCTTATGCAGGTTATCAACAAGTTCCTTCTAAAACAAACTCAACTGTGAAACTGAATCCAAAGTATTAGTTTAAGTGAGAAAAATATTTTGATTACTGTTATTATTACAATATTTGTGCGACAAAGGTTGAACTTTTGGTAACACTTTATTTGAAGGGCGGTGAATAAGACTGTCATGATACTGTCATAAACATGACATAACACATGTCATGAACATGAATAAGCCTTCATGAATATTTATGACTGTCATAAAGCATCATTTGGTAAATTATGACACTTTTAATACAAAGTTGACATTATTTAAAATGTCTTTGTTATGGCAACTTGACATTAACCAAGAAATCATTACTGTTTAAACGTAACCTTTAATAACATAAAGTTACCTAATTTTTAAAGTGCAATCAGTAATACTTTTATAACAAATTTATATCAGTAATGATTTCTTGGTTAATGTCAAGTTGTCATAACAAAGACATTTTGAATAATGTCAACTTTGTATTAAAAGTGTCATAATTTACCGAATGACGCTTTATGACAACAGTCATAAATATTCATGAAGACTTATTCATGTTCATGACAGGTGTTATGTCATGTTTATGACAGTGTCATGTCAGTCTTATTCACCGCCCTTCAAATAAAGTGTTACTGAACTTTTTAACACCTTCATTAAATGCACTGTTACCCAGATATAATGTACAGGTGTTTATTTACGACATATTAGGATTGCAATTAAATAAGCAGTATTATATTAAATTGAGCTTCATATCATGCCATAATGATGTTTCCTCATTAAAAACATAACTGGAGTATTACTTTTGATTCTTTCATGCATGTTATTCTTTCATGGCAACCATCCAGCTGTGCAAAACGTCTGGGTGGACCTAGCTCTGCCTTTGAGATGCAGCTCAGACGCCTCACAGACCAGTCCTCCCCTGCGACTCCCCCACTCAGCTCCTTCAGACTAGCCAACATCTATTAGCAAACACCTGGTGGAACTGTGTCTGCTGAGCTCAGTGTCACTCTGGTTAAAATGTTGTTAAAGGATAAACAGAGGAGGGATGTTGTGACGACTTCCTCAAGGCGGAGTTTCAGAAAGAGCAGGAGATTTTAAAGTTGATAAATGAAACATTTTTATAATTTCTATGGAAAATACATAATAATGACCCTTTAAAAGAAACCATAATTTAATTGACATGATGAGAAACGTGTTTTCATTTGAGGAAGCTAATCAAATGATTAGTTTTAACTGAAGGCAATTTCAGTTAAATATTTGCAAGGTTTGATCTGAAAAAAGCTGCAGCTGCACCTCCTTCACGGCTCTTGTCTTTGTTTGCACAGAAAACAAGTTGCTATTTCTGGATGGACCCCAATCATGTTCTGGCGATGTGGCGATCGAGTACAAAGAAGAACTCTATTGGCTCTCAGGGTCAAACGAAAGATGGAATAAAGAGTTAGCCGACAAAGTGTGCCAGCAGATGCACTGTGGGAACGCGACAAGACACAATCAGAGCTCTCCTGGAGTCAAAAATCGCATGTGGAACGAATCATTTAGCTGCTCATCTGATCAGAAGTCAATCTTTGACTGCAACAAAACACAAATTAACTCAAGTAATTCAACTATTGCTCATGTGGAATGTGAAGGTAATCCAAATGCTAAACATATAAGCACATACTGAATTTGTTTTTTGGTGGAACTTTTAGAAAAAAACTAAGCTTTTATTCTTTGTTTTCCACACCACAATAGGAAATATTACAGTGACTTTGACGGACACATGCTGGGGAATGGTCAACATTTCTACAGGAAATGAGACCGGTTATGTAAGTGGAGAGCACTGGTCAGATACGCTGTCCAAGGAGCTGTGTAAAGAACTCGGCTGTGGGACTGAGATTCTAAAACCCATAAAAAAGCCTGGTACAAGCGATGGAATTAAGTTCAAAAGTCTGTTTAAAATGAAGAATAGCACCAATATGAGGCAGTATAGCATTGTTAAAATGGATATGAATCCAGAATCCACAAGGAATCCAGATTCCAGGAAACCTGCCTATGTTGTTTGTAAAGGTATTGGCTTGTTTTTTGAAAAAAAAAAAAAAAAAATGTTAAAACTGGTAGTATTTTCTTTGGTTTTCGCCAAATTTAAAAAAAAAATTACTGTTTCTGTTTCAGGCAGCATTAAGCCAAGATTTAATGATAAGGATAATCAGCGTCACAAATGTTCTGGAAACGTTGAGGTGTCTTACGAAGGCCAATGGTTACCAGTGAGCAAAAAGACTCTCGACAACAAGGAAACTCAAAACACCATCTGTACGGAGCTGCAATGCGGCAACGGTCTGAGCTCAAAGCCCTACTTTGGGCCTAATCCAACAGAAAATCATGTCATCATAATACAGGAATGTTCACAAAAGACAATAGCTGAATGTAAAGTTGAAACGGCCGAGTTGTCTGGAAGCAACAGCCAGACTTCAGACCTTGGAGGCCTCCACTGCTCCAGTTAGTGTGATTCTTATTTGTTTCGAAACATTTCTGCTTAAAGTATTTTAGCCATGCTCTCATATGATTCCTGCCGTTTGTCTTAGACTGGAAGACTTTGGCACTGGAGGACTTTGGCCCTTCACAGACGTCCTCTGAGAACATCTGTAAGGGAGACCTGGTTGTTTACTCCAACAAGGAATCTGAGCCCAAAAGAAATTTTGTCTCCAGTCAAGAGTTTTCAAAAGACGTGGGGGAGAAGCTTTGTGAAGCTATGAAGTGCGGGAACTACACAAACTACAAAAACTCAACTGAACTCCTCAAGGCTGACAATTGGTATGAAGGAATTTTTAAGTGCAAAAATTCTACCAATATCTGGGATTGTGAAACACAGAAACAGCAACGAGATCAGAATGAAACAGCAAAACTCTTCATTGAATGCGATGGTAAGATTTATTTTGTGGTGGATTATTCTTTAATAATTACAGCCTCACTGACAGTGTTAGAAACGTAGCTGTGAAAATAAACCATGATGGAAACAGAGGCTACAGACAAATTCTACAGCATTTTTGTTTTTCAACAACTACATTTTATTTTTAGGAAAAATCTGCAGTCAAATTTGAATGTCTATTGAAGCTACAGTTCACCTTCAGTGTTGTGTAAACTTCAATTGTAATGCTTCCTCTGCTTCTAATAAGAACTAAATGCCTAATGGTCATTTGGCCTACTTACAGATTTCTTCTATTTTTACTTCTTTGTCACCTTCAATATTTCTGATAAAGCAAATTTTAAAAATCAGACAAAGATAACCTAAGTTATTACAAAGGGTATTTTTCAAAGGATGATTTTATTTATTAAACTTGTAGAACTCAGTGTTTAGTTGACACAGTTGATGTTGTCTGCTCTCTCTTCATTCAGAACAAATATCAGTTTGACTTTTTCTGCTTTTGTTTACAGGTGAACCAACTGTTAAGCTTTCAGCAAATGGAGAGCTGTCAATAAATAATGTTTCAGTCTGCAACAGTCACTGGAAAGAGGAATATTCACACATGGTTTGCCAACAGCTGGGAAGAGGCAATGCCATTCCTAATCTGAGCAAAAACCAACGTAAAACTCTTACAGTTTCCTATCATGTCCACTGTGAGAACCACAATTACCTCATTGGTCAGTGCCGACGAACCGAAGGGAAGTGCAACGAAGGGCCTGTATTTATCTACTGCAGCCGTAAGTGTTCATCCACCCTATTCATCCATTTTCTTTACACCCTTGTCCCTTGGTGGGGTCTGGAGGGTTGCTGGTGCCTATCTCCAGCTAGCTTTCCAGGTGAGAGGCGGGGTCACCCTGGACAAGTCGCCAGTCTGTCGCAGTGCAACACAAAGACACACAGGACAAACAACCATGCACACACACTCACATCTAGGAGTATCTGGAGAAAACCCACACATGCACAGGGAAAACATGCAAACTCCATGCAGAAAGACCCGGGCTGGGAACCAAACCCAGAACCTTCTTGCTATGAGGCAACAGCAACAGCTTACCAACTGCGCCACTGTGCAGCCCCCTATTTATTTATTTACTTATTTACTTTTCTTGTCTGAGAATTTACTTCTATACTAAATGATGTGAAATACTTGTTTTGTGTTCTTAGTCCACTGGAAAAGTCCCTTTTAAATGGCCTGGAGCAAGATCTGAAAGAATATTTATTCATCATTATGATATTTATGTACTAACAAATTCAAATCAGATTATCTGGTGGAAAGGAACTGATTATTTTGCCACATTCTACAGAAGGGCATGTCATATGTTTAAAAAAAAAGAAAACTTTTTTGTCAGACAGAACTCATGACTACATTTTCTGTCATGTTTAAGTTTCCAACAAATGTGTTTTTAATTTGACTTTATATCTTTTTGAATTGCAGGTGACGTGGAGTTTAACACAACAGACAGTTGTGGTGGTGTGCTACGTATCAAATATCAGAAAACCCCAGACAAATATGTGGAAGTGTGCCCAGCCAACTTTACAAGAGAGTTATCAGATAAATTGTGCAACAAATTAAATTGTGGAATTTTTGATTCAAACAAGAAAAAAGACATTCCGCAGGTAAATCTTCAATCCTGTAAATATTTGGACAGGTATTTGAGTCTTACTCATTTCACGTAAAATAGTGTTAACTGAAGTTTTATTTTTTACAAGACCAAAGTGGAAAAAAGTTTCGACTGTGGCAGTTCCTACAAAGACCCGCACTACTGTGTCTTAAAGGAGACCTGTCAAAATCCTACTTCTTTTTTCTGTAAAGGTAACTACAGCAGAGGACAAATATTCACTGGTCACTTTTAGCATTTCATTGCAATATTCACATTTTCTCTCAGTTGTGATGCAAAGATGGAGGAAAGGAAATAACATCTAATGGCCTTCCTTCTGATTCCTGTTCTGATCTCAGGTTACCAGGAGCCACCAACACAACCTCCCCCAACAGAACCAACAGATCCAGTTCCTATTATTGTTGGAGTGCTAATTGTTCTTATCCTGGTGTCATTGATTGTGGTATTTGTGCGATACCGCATTAAGAGGAAGAACAGGAAATCCATGATGCCATGTAAGTACTCTGAAACCATTTCCACTAAATGCTCAGTAGATGTTTTTATCCATTAAAACAACAACTGTGGTTCTCTGTCTGAGCCCAAGTCAGAGTTTGAGCCAATGGAGGACAAAGGTGTGCTGCAGTGTGTTTCCTCTAGGGGGCAGTCTGTCTTCATGCTTCCTGAAATCGGACCTTGGCGTAATGTCCAAGAAAACACAATGAAGTGTTCTCATTGTTGAGCGGAACGTCAGTAAAGGGTTCTGTGGGTTACATTCACCATGAACCAACTCTACACTGATAGAAACAGAGGCAAGAATCTGATATTAGAAACAAAACTGCTTATTAAAAGAGTCTGTCTGAACATTTTTCTTATGAGTTCCCCTTCTATATGTATATAGGCAAATGCAAAGTTAACATTGCACATACAATTCAAATTAAAACCTGAAGAGAAAAAAAGTCTAATTTATTTCAAAAGACACTGGACTGGTCAAAAACAGCTGAGATGGCTTTTATTTACAAAATCAAATATTTACTGGATGAAGTGAAAATGATTTAGCTTTCCTGTGAATTAGTACCAGGGTCATGCTAAGAACAAGTCATAACTATGAGAGTAATTTTCATGAGAATAAAGAAAATAATAAAGTCGTACAGGAATAAAGTTTATTCCCAAAATATTATGGCTTTATTCTTGTATTATTAAGATTTTATTCTCCTACAACTGTATTCTTGTGGTATTATGACTTTATCATTATAATACCATGATTTTATTCTCAAAATATTATGACTTCTTGTATTATTTCGATTTTAATCTTATATATTATTATCATAATATATGACTTTATTCTCTTCATTTCATTACTGTTTTCGTAATTTTATAACTTATCTTTTCACTTTTTCTCACTCTGTCATAATTGGCCTATATTTAGATGCATAAATAATATTTTTGATAACTGCTATGCCTCTGTGTTGTGTGCTGTCAGACTGCTTTCTCAGCTATTCCAGTTCCCAGTGATTTGACTAGACTCCACAGTCCCTCTGCATTTCTTGGCTTTGCCTCCAACAGTTTGATGCCACCTGCCTGGTTTTCTGTCAGATGAAGGTTCAGGGCTTGTTGTGCTGAAACCAAGACACTGCTCGCTTATGGCTGTGTTTGGAGTCATTAACTGTGTTTCCATCAACACTTTTTTTAATGCACATTTTGAAGTATTTCATTAGAAAATAATGAAATACTTCTCAGAATTCCTAGATATGGAAAATTAATTAACCTGTTTTTTAGAAACAAGAGACTGAGATTATTTCTCAATCTCTTATTTCTCTGAGATTGAGAAATAACTTTCTCAGTCTTGTAAAAATGTTTGCGGTGGTTTTTGGCTTTTCTGAAAAATTGCTAAGATGCTAAAGTAAAGATGGAAACATATTTGCCAAATAAGTTCTGATGTAGTGAACGCTACCCACCTACAGGTGGGTCTGTGTCACGAGACTCAGAAACATTTCGTGGCCTAAACCTCCAGCTCCAGTTTTGAGTGATTCATTCTAGTTTGTGACGTTTATATCTCATTTCTTACAGCGACAAAACAACTACATGCAAACTGACAAAATTACCCATTAGTTGATTCGCTCCAAATCAGGGATGGGAATGCACCTAACTCATGTTTTTGTTTTTTGCGACATTTTAAAGGTTCACTCAAGAATTCACCTAAGAATTGGATGGAAATGTAGCTACTGCTATATTTCCTCTTCAGAATGAGGCAACATGCTTTTATTAAAAGCATGTTGCCTCAGTGCTTGTTAGATCCAAAAACAAGAATTTTGCTTTCATCTTTTCAAAAATGATGCCTAACGTCTGTTTGGGTCAGTTATTGTGTTTCTCAAAAACACTGTTTGTGCCTTTCTTTTAAAGTTCAAAGAAGTCTTTTAGTTTTACCAACATTCTATTTGTATTGTTTTTTTCTTTGGTGGTGAGAGTCATAGGTCACATTTAGTCATTTTTCAACAGTGGAACTTTGTGAAAGCAGGTTGCTGACGTTGAACTGCGATTACTTTGAACTCAGTGGTCAATTTGGACGTTTGAGTCTTCTGACAGGTGTTTCAATTTATGTTTTTGTTTTTAGTGTTTTAAAATCTATCAGTAAATTTCTGACCTGTTTCTAAAGCAGCAGATATGGAAGAAGCAGACTGGGATAGTGGAGAGTATGAAGACGTCGACAAATCAGATGAAATGGGAAGCTTCAATCGTGGCAGTAAGTACAACTAAGCAGTTCATTTCAATAGATTTAAATTTATTTATCTTTTAATTTTTGAAACAAAGATGAATGGCTTATGAACAGCCATTAATATTCAATCAGCAGACATTTTGCTTCGTCTGAGCTCTGAGTTTTTAATGTAGGATTCAGATCCGACTCAGATGTGGAGAAGGAGAGAGATGTGGAGAGCAACAGGTCCTACAACTATGACGACGTGGATGAGGTGACCGAGGCTCAGCCTCTCACACCTCAGGGCTCCGTGGTCCGAGCTGCTAAAGACCAAGACCTGCAAGACGGGGTTGATAAGCCAAGTGATGGAAAGTTTTCATCCGGTTTCAATCATCATTTCAATACGCTGAATTCACCTGGCTGACTGCTAGCTGTTTGTCTTTGAACAGACGGTGTGACCTACGAAGTGGAAGACTCACAGGAAAACTACGACGACATCGATGCCAGCCCTGAGAACGCCAAAACCACGGCTGAAGTCCATGACGGACCCAAGCCTGCACCCGATGACGATGAAGAGGGACCTAAAGACCAGTTCCAGAAAAATGAAGACTTTTTTCAGGACGGGTGAGCCTGAACTGGGTGAAAATTCAAATCAAACAGAATTCTGGTCAAAGACAAAATGGATGACCCCAAAAACCTGTCTTCAGTTTAACATGAAAACTAACAATAATGCAGAATGTTGAAAAGCTGAATGTATTTCTGGGAAGAATTATAGACAAACTGAAACTTTTGTATCTTCAAATTATGTATATCATACCAGAAGTTGCAAAACCGATTAGTTTAATACCTTACATTAGAGCTTTATTTACAATAAAGTATTAGAGCCAGGCTAAGATGTTTTTAAAGTCATATTATTACCAGAATAAAGTCATAATAGTAGGAAAATGAAGCAGTAATTTTATGAAAACTTATACACCAAAAATAATAACAAGTTAAAATGAAAAATGTTGCACGTCTTGTGACTAACTAATTTGAAGAAGTTATGCTTTGGCATCGGTTTTACAAATAAGAAAATATTTCATCTTTTAACACATCACTGAACTAGCTGAGCTGGTCACATGACTAGCTGACGGCATCATAACTCATTAAACATTCATCTCATAATGATTTTATTCTCATAACTTTGTGACTTTATTTTCATATTATTATGACTTTATTCTGGTGATTTAAAAAAATAAAATGTCAGTCTGGCACATTAGACTCTCTCCTACTTATTAAGTGATTTACTTTTTAGCAATATGAAAATGTAAAACAAACAATAAAAATTAGATAAACAGACAATAATAATACAGTACATAATACACAATAACAGTATATGTTTTAATTTTATTGTGCATTTACATGAGTTACATCTATTACCCCACAACATATTTATCTTTTCTTAATATTAATACATTCTTATTGTGCGATTTTTACTCAACTGCATAAACTTACTGTAATAAATGCTACGATATTTCTAAACATTTCACTGAGAATATGCTACTGAAATATTAGATTCCTTATTATTTATTCTGATTTTGACCACATGTGTAGCAGTGGTGGAGAATTGTGTCACAGTGTTTTCTCTGCTTTATCATACTGGCTGTGAGGAGTGAGAGGCAGACGGAGAACTCGTTGGTGTTCATTGATAATCCTTCCCTGTTAGTTTGTTCCTGATCTGGAGGTTCGCTGCATTCAGAGAGATTAGACTGTAAAAAAGAAACAGCTAGCCAGTTTAATTAGTTCCTTCTCACTATACGGGAATGTGCTATATTTAACTAACTGCTAGGAGTGCTGGTTCCATATTAGTAAGTAAGTAAGTAAGTAAGTAAGTAAGTTAGTTAGTTACAGTTGTATCTTGTACTTTAGTGAAGTTATTGGAGCAGGTCATATTTTGTTTGTTTTCAACTGTAAATACAATGTATGTAAAAAACCAGCATATATATAAAATTACTTTTGTCATGTTTTTTATATTTTAAACATTACTTAGATTTTTCCAAGTTGTGTTTTAGACAAGCTTTTAATTACAGCTGTAAAATTTTAAGATTGTTTAAAAAAAAACTCATTGCAAACTTTTATCTGTATTGTAGTCCTGCTATGTGTTTTTATGACTGCTTTAGGCTCACTCGTTGTATTATAGTCCTCATATACAATACATCCACTTCATATATTTTGTCTTTGTAGTAAGCAAGCTGTTTGACCGATAAACTGAAATAAAAGTCATATTTAGCACGTCTCAGCTGTTCATATGGACAGTTTTGTGCTTACTCAGAGGTTTTCTGTGCTGTAATCTTCGGCACCAGGTGGAGCGCCTCAGATTCTGCAGCTTTCTCTGGAAGCAGCTTAGATGTTGAGTATCAAACTGTATGTTTAGTAGATCTTATATAGTTTGATACACAGCACAATAAGCTGTTTTATCCAACAGACCTCTAGTTTTTTTATTATTGTTTTACGGTAAGTATAACTCATACTACAGTTGTTGTCCATTTTTCATAAATCACAATAAGGTTTTGTTTTGTGTTGAACCTTAAAGGGGCAGTATTATGTAAAACCTACTTTTTAGAGCTGTACATCATGTTATAATGTTATGATTGATTCTTTCATACGTATTTGGGAAATGGCAACTCTTCAGCTGAGCAAAGTGTCTGGTTGGACCGAGCGCCGCCTTCTGGACGCAGCTTCTCCTCAGAGCTGCAGTTTCCAAGCTTGTGAGTTTCCACCTCATACAGCCAGCAGTCCCCCAGTCAGCTCCTTCAGACTAGCCAGCAGCAATTAGCCAACCCCTTGGTGGAGTGGAACTATGCATTGAAGGCCATGTGTCAGAAAGAACAAGTGTCTGTTTTTAAAGCAACAGAGGCCCAATTTCAAGGCATTAATTTACAAAGTCACATTTCTTTTTGGTCATATTTGTTTAACAACTAAAGTTAACACAGTTACTTGATTGTGCTATAAAATGGCACTTTGTGCCTGAAAAACATAATACTGCCCTTGTAACTTTTTCAACAACCATTCTCTCCCAGAGTTACACAAAGGCACTTGGAGTCTTCAAATGTTTCAAAGAGTAACACCATCCGCCAGGCGGTGACAGATCTGCAGGAGTCTGATATGTTTAGCGAGAACAGAGCCAAGAGCCTCTGAGATCACTGAGGCCCTGATGTATCCACAGGGACTCATTTGTATCCACCGGCCCTCAAGTGATGTGTCAACATCATGCCCAGCCTCTCCACCGGAGGCTTAGCTGGAGATCATGATTTAGCATTAACTCTGCTTTGTGCCTGAAGCCTAAATAGACACAGTGGACACATTCCTATTTTTTAACAGACACTATTTTTCATTTTCTCATAGCTTGCAATCAGAGTTTAATGTACAAACAAACAAAGTGGCAAATGCGAGTCAAAAACCTTCTGCTCTTGTAGTTGAATAAGGCAGGAAACAGAGCCAGACCAAGTTATAAGCAACTGAAGCAGCTGCCAAGGATGTCCACCCCTGTATGAGGCCCAAAGAAAGAGACCTGACTACAATCTGACAGTCTGTGGATCCAAGAGACGCGGCTGACGGCAGTGGTGGGAAGTAACGAAGTACAAGTACTTCGTTACTGTACTTAAGTACAATTTTCGTGTATCGTACTTTACTTAAGTAGATTTAATAATGGATACTTTCTACTTTTACTCCACTACATTTTACAGTAAGTATCTGTACTTTCTACTTCACTACATTTCTACTAAACTGTCGCGTTACTCGTTACATCCAAGTCGCGTTGCGCTTTTTGTCCATTAAAATGTGAAGTTCAGGGTCTTAAGGTGGCGCCGTAAAATCCAAGCAATAACGTGATTTGGTGTCTGTTGTCACCCATCGCCTCCACCTTTACTCGCACGCGGAGCTCCAGACATGCGCAGCGGTTGCTTCTGAGCGGGAGAAGATGTCTGTCTGATCGTCAGTAATATAATAGCGCTGCATAAATCATAGATATATGGTGACATGTAAAATAAGCAGCGCTTCACTTTCACAGATGGTGGGGACTTTGTCCAACTTTTAGCGTCACTTGGAAGGAAAACTTAAAGAAAGGTAAGATCTGTGGACGTGATGCTAACAAAGCTAGCTGTACAGAGACACATGTTGCATCTGCGATGAAAAAAAAGTTGTCACTCATGCGCCGAATTATTGTGTGGAGGTGTTGACTGAGGTGTCGCAAATATGGGACAACGCTGTGACCAAAGTGCAATATAGTGATATGACATTCAGGAACGATCCGATTCTTCTGGACGGATCTTTACTGATTAAATTTATTTCAGCTCTAAGTATTTAATATCTAGGTGTTTTATGGGAATGTGGATCTTTCAGATCAATTTGAGAAGCAATTTTGATAGGTAAAACTAAATGTTTTTGTGTCACGTAGCGCGGGGTGCTGGTCTTGACTTGGTCTTGGGTTGGTGGTCTTGACTACCACACTGCTACTGGCTCCTTGGTTCACTTAATGATATTGTATTAGGGATTAGGTAATACATTCAGCAAGTACTTTTACTTTTAATACTTAAGTATTGTTAAAAGCCAGTACTTTTTTACTTTTACTTAAGTACAAATGTTAATGTGGTAGTTTGTCTGTGTATTTGTACTTTTACTTAAGTAAATTTTTTGAGTACTTTCTCCACCACTGGCTGACGGTGAGGACATCAGAGACTTGGAGCTCATCACCAAAAATAAATAAGACACCTGCTGTCAATTATACTTTTGTACAAAGTATAAAGTTGAACAAATGATACACAAATAGCAAGGTGCACCACCTGAGGAAAACATGGCATTTTCAGGAAAAAAAAAACAAAACAAAAAAACAGAAAATATATATAAAAAAACATGTTTTCATATTTTTCACTCAATAATATATTTTATCTATAGTTTTTATTCTCAGTTATAATCACATAAATTCTGATTGAATTTGGGGAAAGTTCTATTTCAGAAAACATTTATGCAACTTTTGAATTGTTAATGTAATATTTTATTAGCAGTTCAATCCATTTTATTTACAGATATTTTTCCCAAAATCGTCATTAAAAGAACAGTACAAAAAAGTTTATGATTGTTTCAGAACTTTACCCATGGTGAGTAGGTCCAGTTCTTGTCTTCATTTGCATAACTCTTTGGTCAGATGCCTAAAATATTCCTGGAAGTTACAAGTTAATATGATATTTTTTTCTTGGCAAAATAGCAAGTTTGTATTTTGCTTGGTGAATATGAAAAAGAGCCAGAAGGCAGCCTACGGCACATTTTAAATATATATTAGTACAAATCTAACAGGCAAGGCAAACACAAGCCAAAGCCAAATGTCTTTACAACCAAATATTCACTATGCTTAAAATACGTGCACTTAAACCCCTTCTGTAATCTCTACACATATGCATTAAACTGCATGGTGCTTATCTAGTATAAACATCAGAGCTACAAGTGAGGACTTGAACTGATCTTCATTTGGTGGGGTGATGGAGGGGCATCATGTGACGATGAGGCGCTGCGGTTATGATTTGTTTCCAGGAAATGTTACATATCTGCCACATCTGGAGGTTATTGTGATAAGCAGGAAAGCTCAAACTATAACACATCTGAAAAAAATGTAAAATAC